TTATTCAGGGATCCGACAGGATCCTGTTGGGTAGTTTCGCCCTGGGTGGTAATAAAATAGATTACACAAAAAAAAAAAAAGAAAAGTGTCAATAACAAAAATAATTTTTCTATTTAGATCAATTATATGGTTTAGAAAAATTCTGGGCATTTTTAAAATATTCTCGACAAAAACCAAAAATCAATCCAAAACTTGAAGAAATTTTAAAAAACTATAAAAATCTTGAAGATTTTCGTGTTGATGGTGCATCATTTTCACGACAATTTTTTCCAACAAAGTCAAATTATAGTAATTGAAAAACATTTTTTTTTTCTATGATATAAATAATTTCTTTATAGACTGTTCCAGCATTCGAAGTAATTGCTGCTGCAGTAGCAAAGAACAGTGATACATCAAATTCATTAAAACCCAATGGCGAACAATATCTGAACGGTGCTCATATTTTTTCAAGTGGATTTCGATTTGTTTAAAAGTATGCATGTATTTTTTTTTGCTTTCATAGTTTATTGTTATTTAATCTTTTTCTATGTATATATTACATTGGTTTGTTATTGTAGTAGATAGATAGATTAAATAGTGATGCATTTTCTTTTTCTATCGATATAGATATGAAGAATTTTCATATGGTTTCGTTTTGTTTCTGGAACTATTTGCTAATAAATTCATCTCGTTTATTTAATAATATTGGTAAGATATTGAGATAATATTTTATTTTGATAGAAGAATTTAGTGTTTTAGGAAGAATTGATATTGGTTTAGCTATTGGTGGTGGTGTGATTAATTCTATACTTTTTAATGGTAAGTAATGAAAAGATTAAAAAAAAAATTGTTTTCTTTAAATATAAATATATTCTAGTTGATGGTGGTCATCGAGATGTTATTTTTGATCGTTTTCAAAGTGTTAAACTAGATGTTATTGAAGAAGGAACTCATTTTATGATTTCATGGCTTCATAGACCAATTATATTTGATATTCGTACACGACCACGATCTGTTCCATCAATAACAGAAATAAAAGGTATAAAAGCTAGAAGAAAACAGTCAACTTCAGGAGAGGAGAGGTGAACATGAGGAAAATGTACGCTCGCAAAAAAAAGAAGGTAAGTCAACTGATCGGTTTACACCTCTACACTCTCATCATTCACCAATCTTAGGATACTTCATAAAACTTAAAACTGGAAGTCTCCGTTATTTTTTCTTCGTATAAATGAAACTATGCATAAATTACATTTTATTATTTTTATTTTAGATTTACAAACAATTAATATAACATTACGTATTCTTTATCGACCAAGAGCTGAACTTTTACCAAAAATTTGTTGCAAATTTGGGTTTAGATTATGAAGAACATGTTTTATCATCGATTATTAATGAAGTTTTAAAATCTGTTGTACTAAGTCTCAATTTGATGCTATTGAATTGATTACACAACGTACACTTATTTCTCAACGTATTAGTGAATTATTAATAGAACGTGCTGCTCAATTTGGTTTATTACTTGATGATATTTCAACTGTAAGATACAACAAAAAACGAGTCTCGAGTTGATTATATTGTTTTTTTCTTTAAATTAGAGGCATTTAAGTTTTGAACCTGAACTGACAAGCGCTGTTGAATTAAAACAAGTTGCACAACAAGATGTTGAAAAACAACGATTTTTAGTCGAAAAAGTTAATCAATAAGAATAAAATTTGTATGGGTTTGTTTTTTTTGATAAAAAAAAAACAGATGGAACAATGTCGTCAAGCAAATGTTATTGCAGAAGAAGGTGATACTCGTACAGCTGATTTAATTGGCAAAGCTTTAGATGAAGCTGATGATGGTAAATTTTCGAATATCTTTTATTATCCTGTCTTACTTTGTTTTAATATTCATGTTAGATTTGATCGAACTTCGACGATTTGAAGCCGCTGAAGGTACTGCAAATCAATTATCAAAATCAAGAAATACCGTCTATTTACCACATGGTCCTCAAATATTACTTAACATTATTGACGGTATGCAATAAAAATATTGTTTTTTTTGTTTTCATAGTAAACTAACGAGATTGAATTAGGAAAATAAAAAGAACATATAAGAGTTTGTTTTATATGTGTGTGTGTGTGTGTTTATATAATATTGAGAATACTAAAGCATTGTATTATCCTGTTTTTTGTTCGATTAAAGAAAAAGAAGATCAGATCAGCAATTCTCTAGATGACATTAAAGATTCGAGTACGATTGAAATGATGAATTTCGATAATCTCTTTCGACGTTTTATATTAATTCAATCATTTGTGCGTGGTTGGGGAAATCCATTTCATTTACAAGAAATTTTTACCTATCGACGTGAAAAAATTGGTGTAAGAGATGAGTGTTTAGAAATTGTACCAGCTGAAAATGTACAGGAAAATACTGTTGAAATAATTAAACAAGAAACAAAAAGATAATCAAAATTATATAAATGCTCGATTTCGTTCACCACTTACCAATTATTTATCACATTTGGTAAGTAATTAAAATTATTTTAATCATTTAATTAATATTATCTTTTTTCTTTTGTTATATTTATTTAAATAGGTTTCATCTCAAGTAGCTACAGCTCATTTTCAACTTGTTTTATCACGTGATCAAGGTTTTAGTCGATGAAGGTTATTTACTGCAGTCTCGTTAATTAATCAATATCCTATAGGTTCAATTCTTCTTGAAAATCCATATTATGGTTTAAGAAAACAACCAGATCTACTTTATTGGTGTCAAAAAATGAAATTAACATCAGCTATTCTACATGGTTTTTCTCTTGGTGAACATATGGCTTCATTAGCATTTACAAAGTAAGATTCAATTCTATTATTTGATCTATTTAATGAATGGATATACAGTATCTATCATAATTTCAAATAATGACTCAAGTAGAGCAAACCATATTACAAAAAGAATATAAATGAAAAACATTGATTATTTAATTCCCAAAGTTAGGATTTTTTTAGACAGCCCAAAAGCCTAATTTCTCAGTATCTAGTACATGAACTCTCTAGGACAGTTTTTTATTGAGTAAAAGTTGAATCATTTTGGTAGCCATTGTGTATATATTTATATTTTAGATGGTCTGATCTACCTTCTCGACAATTCTATGAAAATAAAGCCTTTCAAACATTTTATGATTATTTATGTGAACGAAATCGATCAATAGATTCAAATAAAATTGTTCTCGATCTTATTAAAGATATGATGCGTCTTCTTATGGATGAATTTACATCTTTATATAATTATTCATGTTTGATATATTCCTCATGGACATGATAGTGCATTTTTATAATCATATCACCAATTTCTGTTACTACACCTAAAAATTCGTGAAGATATATATTTTTTTTAATATAGATATTTTCTCGAAAAGTATCAACTATTTCCTAGTTTTTGTGTTATGATTTGAATAATAACTCAGAGAAAAAAAAAACTTTTGATCGAATATAAACTAGATAATATATTAATCGTTTTGTTTTTTAAATATAATTTGTATGACTCTGGTAAAAACATAAGCAAACATTTTTTTGTTCTATTTATCAGCAAATAGATATTGAGAGAACTTCTCCAACTGATATCCTCTGTTCGAGTTCATAAGTAGGACCCATAGTCATGATGAAAATATTAAACATGTTCGTGCTCTTAAGCCTTTCATGATTGTTCTATTAAATTTTTAGCATATTGCAGGATATTAGCAAAAAAAGCTGCAATAATGAGTCTCCATTTGAAACTTTCTTCAATAACAGATCTCATAACAATTATTACATTCTAAAAGTTTTAGCTCAAACGAATGAATCCAAGTCAATCAATCAGACAGTGAGATCAATCACAGATTCTTGCACGTTCATACAAGATCGTACAATTTGATTTCACTATATTGTTTGAATCCTTTATAATAACCCATACAGGTTAGAGTTCTCTTCTTTATAAATTACCATACCATCCATACGCATACATAGCCAACATTTAAAGGACATGGTCGAAAATCATGGATTTTCGACAAGGGGGAAAAAGCTGACTCCAATCCCTTGGAGTCCCTTGAAGTCCCGTGGAGTCCGGTGGAGTCCCGTAGAGTCCGGTGGAGTCCCTCGGAGTCCCTTGGAGTCCCTCGGAGTCCCTTAGAATTCCATGAAGTCTAATAGAACTCTCAAGAGTATTATGGGTAAACTTTATAGCTGTTTCAGGAAACTCTTTTATCAAGCTCTCTTTCATCACTTTGAACGTCAGAAAGAAAAAATATTTTCTAAAATATATAAACCTTTGGTGGAAGCACATTTTTTTAATCATCTTCTGTCTGCATCGAACTAAACTCATTCTCTAACTATCCTTCGAATAAAATAGCGCTTCTCTTCAACTGTATTTAATTAATCTATGTTGATTAAATCATCCGTTGTTTAGGGATACCTTTAGGTTTTCAAGTCCTATATTGCGGGGTATCCGTAGATCCCGAAGTCCTATATAATGGGGTATCCATAGGTCCTCACGCCCTACATTATGACGGTACCTTTAGGTGCGCAAGTCCTATATAATGAGCGTACCCTTAGGTCCGCTAGTCGTGGGTTATGAAAGTACCTTTAGGTCCTCAAGTGCTATATAGCGGGATACCTTTAGATCCTCGAGTCCTATATTATGACGATACCTTTAGGTGCTCAAGTCCTATATAATGGGGTATCCTTAGGCCTACAAGGTCTATTATACAGAGGTACCGATAAGTCCCCAAGGACTGTTGTACAGATAGGTCCTCAAAGCCTATACGATAGTGGTACCCACAAAATATCAAGCGGTATTATATAGGAGTACCCATAGTTCCCGCAGAGCTATACGAGAGGAACAACCATAGGTCTTTACGGACTCTCTCGTAAGGGTAGCCATAGCTCCTCATAGCATATAGCAAGCGGGATTCCAGTAGTATGTGCCTTGAGGATCTATGTGCATCGTTTACTACATGCTTTGAGCAGGGTTTCCGAGTTGGGGGATGACAGGCCTTGCACGTAACGAACTTCACACTTTCTGCAAAAAGCATTGATAATACTTTCTAGGAAATCGATAACTATACTATCGTAGAAAAGACGTCAATTTGCTCTAACCAAATCAAAGGAGGCATGGTCTCTGGCAAATTCTTGCCGAACGTCCACGTTATTTAGGTCGAACATCTCGCAGAAAATGCAGTTCTCTCTTTTATATTTCTTGCAGAAACCCGATCGTATTTACGTCGCATTTTCTCCTAAACTTTGAAATCTATGCAAGAAATATGGGACACATAACATCGATTTTGGGCAAGAAATGGAACAAAAGCAACGTTGACTTTGTGCGCTGAAAATGACGGCGTTTCCGCAAAGTTTGTATCCTACCCGCACCATCCTCAAAATCAATCATGAACCCTGCCCTTCAGCACCTATCAGCAACTCTATATAATCTTTAGGACTGACAAAAAGTTCTGGCAACGTTATTGGCAATTTTATAAACCAATTAACATGGAGAATTTTTTGCATGGATAAATAGTGGAACGCATTTTCTATAATGATTTATATGCAAATAAACCGCTCCCGCAATAAAAGGTCCCGGGCCTTATATTATGGCGAGTCACATTCGGCACAAATTCCACCAAAATTCCCGGCAAAATACACAATTCTCGCGAAAAACCTCTCTTGGGGGCCTTCTAAATAGTGGGACCCTGTAATACGGGGGAGGTCTTCTATTGCGGAGAGGGATTTACCGTGGATCAAGGCGATCGACTGCGTCCCTTGACTGTAGATTTGAACTACCACCTTGCGGATAAATACAAAAACACACAGTCGTTTTCGAGATTAAGACTCTGACTACAGTCAAGGGAATAGCCCTTGAAGACCTAAGAGTGCCCCCATTATATAGGACTTGATGACCTGAAGGTACCATCATAATATAAGACTTGAGAGCCTATGGGTACCTCCATAGTATAGATCTTGAGGACTTGCGGTTACTCCTAAACAACCGATGATTTAATCAACATAGACTAATTAAATATATACCTAGTTCCCAGCTCTGAACTAGCACTGCCCAGGTCGATCAATCCGATAGTCGGACCTTATCGGATCCGATAGGCGTCCTACAGGTATCCGATAGGATAATATCAGATCCGATAGGCGTCCTACAGGTATCTGATAGAATAATATCAGATCCGATAGGCGTCCTACAGGTATCCGATAGGATAATATCAGATCCGATAGGCGTCCTACAGGTATCCGATAGGATAATATCAGATCCGACAGGAATCCGTGAGACGAAATCACGTCGAGTCCCGTCAGTAGTCGGATCCGATCGGATCCTATAAGAGATCCGACAGTTGGATCTGATAGTATCCCAAGATCGTTATCTAGTACTGATAAAATGAATGCTAATAAAATTTGCAGCAATTAGGATTCATCCGACGCGATTCCGTTTCACGGATTCCTGTAGGATTTTGTCGGCTGGTCGGATCTTACAAGATCCTATGAGATCCGGTATCGGATTGACGGACCTGGGTGATGTATACCGCGTGATATTGGCTCAAATCTCTCTATGATTTTTCACAATTCACCGTGTTATTTGCCGCTAGTAACGTATTTGAAAAAAAAACGTATGAATCAGTTAACATGGACTCCGGGACTCCATATGTGTTTGGAGTCCCACGGAGTCTCGCGGAGTCCCATGGGGTCCCGTGGAGCCCCGTGGAGTCCCATGGAGTCCTGGAGTCCCGGAGTCAGCTTTTCCCCCCTTGCATTAAATAGCTATGCGAATACTTAAATAGCTATGAAAGACTTAAATAGCTAAGCAAGCACTTATAAACAGCTATGAAAAACTTAAATAGCTATGTAAGTACTTAAATAGCTAAGTGCTTATTTAAAAAGTATCTCTTTTGAGAAGCTACGGATATTTTAACATCATACTGTTATTATAATTGCTTAGAAAAATATCTTTGAAATTGCAAATATTTTCATACGTCAGGAGCTAGAAATTGTTTCTGATTTACATTCATATTAGAGAACAGATTTTGATGTCTTCTTTAATTAGTTCATTAAATACATTGAAAACATTCTTATTATTATGTTAATATTTTATTTTTTGTCTTTACCAGACAGTGATCTACTGTATGAAGTCAATAGATGTTTTGCATAGTAATGTCACGTTGATAGAAAGTACACAGGGCGTGACAGACAGACCATGCCAACGAAAGGTAGATCTCTATCTGATGGTTATATAATGTTCATCTACTCGATCTCCAAGATCAATGATGTCAGCGCTTGAGTTCATAGATTTTTGGTCGGAAAACTTGGAAAAACAATAGGAATTCAATAGTCGGACTTTCCTAGTTTCGATCAGAACAGGTCATAATCGGGCAGAGCCAGCCGCTGAATTTCTGCTTCCAAGTTCTTACAATTTTCCGGTCAGCATCAGCTCTTATTTCGTTACATAGAAATTGTGCTTTAGGACAGCTTTCCTATATAAAAAGTGTTATGAATTGATATGAAACAATGATCGTTACAAACTCTTATTTATTTCCAATAACTATTGTAGTTTTAGTCGATTTAATTTTTTTGTAAATTCTTTGTATTATTTAGGTGTGTCTCAAAAACAAAGATTAATATGATTTATGTTTACTAGTCTATGATTTTCATTCGTAATCATTTTACTATATTTTTTATCTGTTTTTGAACCACAAAAAAATTATTTATCGATGAAACATTTAAAAAAATGTAGTAATTTCAACTTAGGTCTAGAAGTACGGACTGTTTCCGGCCAAAAAGCTCAAGAAAATGGTAGGAACTTGGAAGAAGGAATCCGGCGATGGGATTCCTTCTTCCAAGTTCTTACCATTTTCCTGCCGAAATCATTAGCCTGATTAGATCAATTCTCGAAATTCTTTTAAACAAGTAGAGTGAAACATGAATAACTGATCTCTTTAATTAATTGAGCTTTTGTTTGAAATGGTATGATAATTCGATGGAGAAAAACTATTAATAAAAAAAAATCTGAACATTCAATATTTGAATAAATTTAATTTTGATTATGAATTTTTTTTGTTCAGGTAACAAGAAAAACTCTAATGGATATCGTACATAAATTAATAGTTCATATGGATAAATCTGAAAGTTCACATTATTGAGATGAATTACTTTCAAAAATAATTGAAATATGTAGTCAAAATGATTATCAACATATAACTAATTTTGAATGGTTTACATTTATTTTTTTAATTTTTATTAATAGAAAAAAAAACATTATTTATTAAAATAGGTATATTAGTATATTGGTTGAATTAACTTGTCTTGAAGGTACAAAACATGGTAATCTCATATCTTTACAAATGCTTGATGTTGTTGTTCGTGTTGAATCTATTTTTTCATTCTCTTGTAATCAAATGATAGAAATTTGTCAAAAATAAAATCACAAAAAAATTTTTTTATTTCTATTCTTTCAGGCAATTCTTCTTGAAAATGATTATGTTTTTATTCATGATTCAAACTCTACAACTGTCCCCGAAGTTTTATATGCTGCTGCATGAATTTGTGGTGAATTTTGTTCGTAAGTCAATAACGGAAAAAAAATTAATTGAAAGAATTCTTGTTTTACTTTTCTCTATAGCTATTTAAAAGAACGATAAAAAATTCTTGAATCAATGCTTAATACAAAAATAACTCTATTTCTTGGACATATTCAATCTGTTTACTATCAAAATATTTTGAAAATTATTATATATTTAATTCAATCATCGAATAATGATGAAACATTAATTCAACAACTTCTTTCATTAACGATTGATAAAATGTCTT